ACAAAAATATAAGTTAAGAAGGATTGTTGTACACATTTTTTGAAGTAACCTGAAAGGGTAACAGATATCGATGTGCTGTTTTTTCCATCATGTACATCATGTGCAACTCCAAATACCGATGTTAATTTTCGCCATTCCCAGAAAGGGTGTTTCGCTTCGCGTCCAAATTGGTCCGACCTGTTAGGTGGGAACACCGATGTTTTTGGTCGGAAACACCCTTAGAGATAGACGAAAACCACATCGGCGTCTGGAGTTCACTTACCGTAAACCGCATATCGATTATCTGTTACCGTTACATGGGCGTTTTTCAGAATATAGATTTAAAGGTTGTAACTCTTTTGTTATGAAAAATTTTGTATTTTTTATGAGAACATTTCCCAAGCACCTTTACGGAATTTAATGGTTTAAGTATAATTTTTTTAAAATTAATAATTTAAGAATTGTCAACAGAAATTTGATTTTTTTATATGGGACACCCTGTATACCTTTCCAAAAACATAACACACTTGATATTTTGCTCGATTCCCCTTCGAGATATAGAGTATATAAAAATTCGCCCGCTTTAAATAAGTAGGGTTTGAACGGCACCGGCTGTGTTGCAAAAAAATTCTAGCTGTGAGCGTCAATTAAAACGAAAATATTATTTCATGAGAGATGCAGAATTTTATAACAATTTAAAAATATATTAACCAACATCAACACATTATTTAAACTATTCATTAACAATAAAAATAAATAGCAAACCAACATATGAGATTTTGCTACAGGTGTTCGATATAACGACCGTCTTCTGTTATGGACAGACGGGATAGTTTTTGGACATTTCTCGCGAAATTCATTAACTCAGTAGGGGGTGAAAGATACCCTCTCATGCTAAGTATTTCTAATTCTTTGTCTAGATTATACGAAGAATAAGGAACCTTTATTCTTCAGCAAATATATCCATAGGATTAGATCCATGGGCACTAAGTCAGGCGGCCTCGACGGGCCAACGGCTGGCATCTTGGTTATTATTCAACTATTCCTGAAATTGGCTGCAAAATTTTGCTGATAACTTAGCGTTCAGAGGTGCGTCGTCTTGCTGGAAAAATATGTTTTCGAGTTCCATTATGAGCAGATCATCTATGAGAGGTCCAAAGCCTACTAGTTAAAAGTGGCGAACTTTTTTAAAATTCTGTATTTCGAAGGGGATTATAACAAAATATCAAGTGTGCTATATTTTGAAAGGTAATTTTAAATTCTTTTCAATTAATTAAAAATATAAAGGGTGTCCCAAATAAAGAAGAATCAATTTTTCTGTTGATAACTCTAAATTATTAATTTTTAGAAAATTACACTTAAACCATTAAATTTACGTAAAAAGGTGTTTTCGAAATGTTTCGCTAGAAATACAAAATTTTCCTTAGCAAAAAGTTACAGCGATTTGTTAAAATGCACATTTTTGAAAAACACCCTGTAATCTGTAATGGTAACAGATATTGATGTGCGGTTTTCACCATCATGTTTTTGATGAAAACTGAGCTCCAGACATCGATATTAGTTTTCGTCTATCTCCTACTGAAAAGGGTGTTTCCATTTAAAAGCGTCGAATTTCACCGACCCTGTACATATGTAAAATTAAAAGAAACAATTTTCAATTTTTCCAATTTTTCTCGAAATTTGGCCAATAAAATCGTTTTTTTTTTTTTTTTATTTTTAAATGTCAAATTTGATAGATACACGAGAGCAACAACGTAAATTTAAACTAAAGCTAAAGCCAAAGTTAAATTTGACTTAAATCCTTAAATAAAATAAAATCTGTATGTAAAATCAATAGTCCTAAACTTATAAGCTAAATTTTATTTTACAAGACAAAACAATCAAAACTTCTTGTTTTTATCTTGAATGAGATTCGTAGGCGACTAAACCCTGAAAGAATCTTCTCCGCTAAAAATATCCATTTTTTATTATGAAAAAGAACAAATCCCAGACGATGCTGAAATTCATTTTTTAACATCCAAAGTTCGGGTAGTTTTACCCTCGGGGTGAAATTTTTGGTAGAATTTTTGTAAAATATAAATGGAGAAGTCGTGTCTGATAAATATCCAGAACAAACTTTTTGACAAGATGTTTTGAGTCGAAAAATATGGAACACTTTAAAGTATTTGTTGAATGGCGAAAACAATGCCAAAGTATCTAAGGATATTGTTTATATTTCACTTGGGAAATCAAAAATAAATGCCTTCATTTTGTTATTTACTACACAGTGGAGGCCAAAAAGCTAGGCTAAATAGAGAAAAAAGTATGATATTGAATTATCGGAAACCCTAATAACAAAAGACGTACGCACTAGCTGTAATATTCCAATTATTTATTTTTAAACAGTCATGTATGATCTATCATTTTTACAACTTAATTCTCCCTACAATGATATTACAATAAGAAAGCAGTAAAAAAGAAGTAAAAATATAAAATAGGTATGTTCGTAACCCACACTAGCTTACTCAAATGTTGGGTAAATTTTCTTAGTGCGGTGATCACGACATCACATCGCAAGCCATCGGTATCAGCGTGCTGTTATTTTAATACCTGTTATTTCTTTGCTACTCTTGCGCGAAACTGATAAAATTCGGGCTGCAGCTAGCCAAACCTCCCATCGTCTAGCCGTTGCTGTTGCGCGTTGGACTGTTATAATGAACAACTGTTACTAGCACAGATATAAGAAATTTTGTAGCCAGGTGATCCGAATATGACATAACGAGTGGTCGCAACAGAGCACTGTTGGTTTCATAACTGTTATTTTTAGACAGTAACAAGTGTACGAACTCTGTCATTTATAAATAACAAATTTTAAAGTAACACATATCGTTAAATAACAATACCTTAACAAATGCCTCTTAACAGTACCTGTTGGTACAATTTCGATATATGGCCAGTTGACAACTCAGAGTAAGATCAGTAAGATAATAGAAACAACTCAGAGTAAGATAAGCAAATATAATCTAAATCGGTCCGTGTCAGCGCACTGTTGTAAAGTGACAATTGTTGCCAACTGTTGTGTGCTAAATTTTTTAAATAGTAGTTCTTAAATTACAGATCGTTAAATAAAAATAAGTCTCTAAAATTACCTCTTAACAATACCTGTTATTTTTTGAACCAAAAGTTTTGTGAGCTCGGCAGAGAGTTCAGATCACGATCAATAGCGGTCAGTGTTCCTTTTATAATTTTTCTTTTAGAAAGTAACGACTGTTGTGAACTGTTATTTAGAGATAACAGTTTTAAAGTAATACGTCTCCAAAAAATTACCTCTTAACAGTAGGTACCTGTTATTTTTTGGAATATCACTTGCGAACTTGGTAGAATTACGTTTTACATCACGACCATTCGTTGTAAGCACACTTTTTTATTTTCATAACAGTTATATTTAGGAAGTACCTAACTATTATTTATTTTGCACATCATTGTTTTGCAACGAAATCTATCGATTAAAAATATTTCCAATATGGCGGCACTCAATATGGTATAGCCTAAAAATCAAATTTAGTGATTACCACAGCCACTGTGACATAAAGAGAAGACATGTGGCTATCTATTTCAAAAATTACATTGTTCAAATGTTATATAAATATAATAATGGCGGTAGCTGTCATGAAATTGAGCGATTAAAAAATTATCATAAATCATTTTTTACAAATGGAAACCCACTTTTTTTATTTCACTAGTGAAAAGGTTTTTCAATTAGTTACTTTTAAACTATACATGTTCCTATACCTAAAATATTTTTTTTTTAAGTTATTTTAAATTTAATTTGAAAACGTATAATTTTTCTTCATTTTATCTAGCTTCCTTTGACATTAAGTATCAAACGGTTAGACAATTTATTTCCCTCTGTCAGAAAACGAATTATTTGTATTTCCTATATTATAAATACTGCCTGGTTTAGAGTTTAAAATGTGTATTTATAAAAATATATCTCGTATTTTCGCTCTTTAGTGATATCTAATAGTTGATATTATTAATAATATTGCGTATGATAAATAAACAGCGCAAAATTGGCTCGGTAATAATGCTGCTTTTTGAACAAAGCGTCATAATATGATATGGCCAGATCTATTGTTTTAGATCACTTGACGTTTAGTGTCATAGGCTACTGGTTAGAATCGTTAAAATCAAGAAAAACATACGCTTTAAAACTAAATCTTAAATAACTTACAAACTATTTATTTTAGGTATAGGAACATGTAGGTATAGTCAAAAAGTAACGAGTTGAAAAGCCATTTCACTAGTGAAATAAAAAAAAATGGGTTTCCAATTGAAAAAAATGATTTATGATAATTTTTTAATCGCTCGATTCCATGACAGTTACCGCCATAATTATATGACATCTGAACAATTTAATTTTTGAATTAGATAGCCACATGTTTTCTCTTTATGGCTGTGATAATCAATAAATTTGACGTTTAGGCTATACACATATTTTTGACAGGCAGTTTTTTTCGTCCAAGTTTAAATATTTTTTTTTTCTCAAAAACGATCAATGTTAGATATAGAGTGTTTAATATCAAAATTCATAAAATTTTACAGAGAATTTAAGCATGAAATAAAAAATGGGGGCACTTATTTAAAATAAGAAAGTTGCTGTCAACTTCCGGTGTTTCCGGAAGTGCCGCCATATTGAAAATATTTTTAATCGATAGATCTCGTTGTGAAACTATGATGTGCAAAAAATCTCCGAGTTAGATGTTGTAGTTCCTTAGAAACTTCTAATGCACGCTCAGCCTGGGACATCCTGTATAATAAATAAGTTTTCTAAAATAACAGACCATTAAATAACCATTCATCTCTAAAAGTTACCTCTTAACAGTATCTGTCATTTTTGGAACAAATCTTGACGAGCTAGATAGAACTCTTAGAACACTGATATCTTCATAACTGTTATTTTTAGGAAGTGACAACTGTAGCGAACTGTCATTTATAAATAGCAGTTGTAAAATAACATATCATACGTGTCAAAAAGTTACCTCTTAACAGTCTCCTGGCCGGTGAGCCTTGAGCAGATCCGCTGGGCTTGTTGTGCCCCTCATCTTTGTTATTCGAGGATTTGAACAGTCTTCTAAATACCGCAGTCACCTTGTCTTTGGGGCGGATGTTCATGTTGTACCTAGTAGTGGCGCTTCTTGTACTTTTCCTAAATCGCTTGGATGAACCATTAAGTATCAAGCTTTTGTTTTGGTTTTATCTGAAAAAAAGATGAAATAGGTAAGTTAAATAAACTCTAGAAAATGCGTTTTTAGAATTAAAGTCGGTTGTTCACCTTTGTGCATAATTCATCTGCCATCTTATCTCCGATAAATGTTAGATTTGTGCCGATCTGGTTGGCTTTTACATTGTCTCGGTTTTATCACGGATATATGCTAAGGTCGTGACATTAATAAATTATTAATATCGTCGTTATTAGACGCTTGTCATATTCTTTGGAAAATATTTATATTTTCGTCTAGTGAAAAATAACTTTGAACAATGCACAGATTAGTTGGGCTTATTAACCTACATAGTACGGCGTTTTGTTTTGTTTATTATTTTTATGAGAGGAAAAAAGTTTAATTCGTTATAATCAAAAATATAGTGGAAAGTAGCCTAAACCGTACGACTATGTACAAAAATTAAAGAAATACGAAATTTTTCGGGCTGGTTCATCATGTAAGTTCACCATAAAATTCATCATGTTCAATTTTTGAAAAATTAACTTGTACTTCTACCTGTGTTAACCAGGTTTAACCACTAAGTATGTTGTATCATCATCATTTTCAGCTTATTCAACCATTTTCGATTATGAGGCAGCCTGTAGCCTTCCTCACTATTAAGACACTCTCTTTGTAGTTGAGCTCATTGTTGTCTATTATTGGCTATGCGGGCCCATGTTATTCCTGCTAATTTCCTAATATCATTGTCCCATCTCATGTTTGGTCTTCTTCTAGGTGTCTTAATTCCTCGTGGGTACCATGCTGTAATTTTTGTTGTCCATCTCTTGTCTGTCCTTCTTGTCAGGTGTCCTGCCCATTGTCACTTTAGAGATTTGATTCTGTGGAGGACTATTATTACCTCGGTCTTTTGTCGTATCCACTCTATTCTTTTACTGTCTCTCTTGGTTATTCCCAGCATATTTCGTTCCACTGAGCGTTGTGCGACCTGCAGTTTCCTTATAATGTCCGTTTTAAGTGTCCAGGTTTCGCATGCATCATGCATAGGTCATGACTCGTAGTACACATTGGTCGAATGTTCTCTTCTTTAGATAAAGTGGCATTCTATATTTGAATATGATTGAGTTTCTTCCACAAGTACTCCATGCTAACTTACTCTACTGTTGATTTCTGGTAGTAGAGATCCCTAGCTGTGTATTAGTTGTCCCAAATATATATTTTACTGTTCTACTATTTTCAGTGTTGTGTTATTTATTAGAATGTCTTTTCTGTCTACTAGTTCGCTGTACAGGGTGTCCCATTTTAGTTGAAATCATACGGTATCTCCTTATTAGTAAAGATAGGAGGATGCGGTTTGCACAAACCTCTGCCACTTTTTCGTCAAACGGAAGATGCTGTCAACAACATTTTCATAGCTCTCTTTGTTTCTGAGCTACAGGGTCTTTTCCAAAATTTTACAATTTGGGGCAGTCCCTGTATCTCCGTTATTATGGATGATATCGAGAAGGTGAAAACTGACTCTTGTAGAACTTTTTATTTAGAATACAGTGGCGTACTCTGTTTTTCTACAAAAAAATATTTTTAAATATGAACTAAAGTTACGTTCTTTCAAAAATTTTCAATTTTCAAAAAACACCCTGTATATTTATAAATGATATGATCCGCCTCGCTATGAGTTTTTCAAAAATATATATTGCTCTATATTTATTTTCACTATTTACGGCAATATTTAATTTTATCATTTTTTATTTATTTTTATCATTTTCTTATTAGTAGGCCGTGATAAATAACAAAAAATCAAAATGGTATTTACTAAAATAGTCATACACTTATTAAAATTTTGTTTGGAATTGATATATTTTACTTTTGAACTGTTATTACCACTCAATTTTTGAATATATTTTTTTTCATAACGGAATTTATTATAACAGGATGGGTTTGCAAATATATAAAAGCTTGCGTTATTAGCTTGCATTTTTCAGGTGTTCCACATTGTGTTAGTTGCCACGATATATTTCACATTTCAAAAATTTCCAAAATCAGAAATCGAAAAAGGACAAATCCAGGACTCAGGGAGGGTGTCGTATGGGTCCTTTGGTTCCAATTCATTGATTGGAGAAATAATAATATATAATAACGAATTTTGTTAAAAAAATTTAACAAAATTCGAATATTGTTATTGTCGTTATAAGTTGTGAGGGGGAGCGCCATCTTGCTGAAAATTTATTTCACGTAAATTAGCTAAAGGAATATTCAAAAGTTCCGATACGATAGCTTCCAAGATTTACAAATAACGGTAGAAAGTTAAGTTTCCCTAATATATAAAGAATTTATTAGTGGCTCTCAAAATAACTTTTAGTATATATTTTTAATAATTCATTAGTTTCTTTATTATCAATCATGGTCTACCAATAAAATATGATCTTTTAATATATTTTTTTAAATATTGCAGATAATAGCAAAAATAAATATAGAGTGATATATATTTTTGAGAAGCTTTTGGCAAGCCAGATCATATAATTTATAAATATACAGGGTGTTCCATTTAAGAAAACATAACTATAGTTCATATCTTTAAAAATATTCTTTTCGTAGAATAACAAACTACGCTACTGTATTCTACGTAAAAAGTTCTACAATAAACAGTTTTCACTTTCTCGATACCTTTAACAATAACAGAGATACCGGGGGTGTCCCAAATTGCAAAATTTTCAAAAAGACCCTGTAGCTCAGAAACGAAGAGAGCTATGAAAATTTTGTTTACCGCATCTTTCGTTTGACAAAAAAGTTGTACGGGTTTGTGCAAACCGCATCCTTCTATCTTCAGGAATAACAGAGATACCGTATGATTTCAACCAAAATAGGACACCCACCCTGTACAGGGTGAGTCAACGATAGAGTAAAGTTCATTATCTCATTTGTTTCAAGGTTTACAAAAAAAGTTTAATATAAAAGTTATAGGGATGGTTAAGATACATATTTGAAAAATTATTATAGAGTATACAGGGTGCTTCAAAAAAGTGTCGCGGCTATACAATATGTTTTTTTATGCAACACCCTATTTTTTATTTTATTTATAGATTCTGCGTAAAAATCCATAACTTTTTTATATATAATGCTATATATCTAAAATTAATAGTTTTTGTAATATTTCAATTTATTTAAACAAATGTTAAATTGCAGTGTGGTAAAAAATTGTCAGTGGTGCCATTGTTTCTGAAGTTGGAGTACCAAAATATGGTAGCAGACTTTTATAGAGATGAAAAAAAAGATATATGTAAAGATATTTTAGTTAAATGATACAGGGTGTTCAAAATATATTTATGAATTTGAACTAATTAAAATTAAAAAATCTCAAATTTTTTAAATGGGACAACCAAAGTTGCCATGACAAAACAAAACAATTTATTACTTACCTTTAACAAGTAGCTTCATAATTAGTTACAATTGCTGGTATTAGTTAAAATTAATTATTTTTACTCAAATAAACTAAATCGCAGTAGTGAATTTCGAAGATGACACTTGGGATTTTTCGTCGGGGCGAATAGCCACAGATTAGGGTAATACTAAATTATCTAATTGCTGAAAACTACTGATATATGAATTTTCTTCGACATACAGTAAAGTTTTTTCTCGTAGTAATTCTGGTTTATAATTCATTTGGTAAAACCATTATTACTACTGCCGCGAAACCGTCCCATTACACACTTGAAGATGTTTTCTAGATAATATACATCTATCCTTATAGTAGTTAGCAAAGTACTATATAATATATAGTACTGAACCAAAAAATGTAGTTTTCTAAGCTTGTCCGTGTATATCAATCACACTGACCAATTCATTTCAAGAAAATCTGTAACTATTATCTCTACCATTTATACTTATTACAACAAATTAAACTAAAATTCAAATTTTGTTCTTAACTTGCTTAACAGACATGAAATTGTGATAATTATTACTTTTTGTCATGGTAACTATGATGTTATAGCGCAATTGTATTAAACATATGGGTAAAAATAGAAAAAATTAGAATAAATCGCAAACTAATAAAAATAGGTATATGACATTCATAATAAAAGTTGAAGAGTTTGGTAAAATCTATCAGAAAAAATGATAATATATAGGGTGTACCATTTAAAAAAAATTGAAATTCCTTAATTTTGAGTAGTTGAAATTCCTAAATATATTTTGAACACCCTGTAACATCTAACTAAAATATCTTTACATAGGTCTTTTTCTATATCTCTATAAAATTCTCCTACCAAATTTTAGTTGCCCAACTTCAGAATCAATGCCATCATTGACAATTTTTTAACCCACTGCAATCTAACATTTGTTTAAACAAATTTAAATATAACAAAAACTATTAATTTTAGGTATATAACATTATATATAAAAAAGTTATGGAATTTTACGCGGAATCTAAAAATCAAATAAAAAATAGTGTGTTGCATTTAAAAAAAAAACATGTTATATTCGCCACACTTTTTTGGAGCACCTTGTATACTCAATAATAATTTTAAAATGTGTATCTTAACCATCCCTATAGCTTTTATATTTAATATTTTTTTGTAAACCTCGAAACAAATAAGATAATGGACTTTACTCTATCGTTGACTCACCCTTTACACTACTTTAGTTTTTTCTAAATTAATTTTGAGACCTACTTTATTGCTGGCTGTATTTCGTTCGTTAATTTGTGCTTGTATATAGTTATTCAGGACTTTTTTAATTTCTTCTAGTGTTGCTGTAAACAACTTTGGGGATGTCGCGCCTCTCTGTCATCTTTTGCCAGTTGGGAACTCTGGGGTTGTTTTATATATCATTATATACTCTTGTTTTGGCATTTTTGTATATACTGGTGAGGGTTTCTATATAAGACCTGCCAATACCTTGTTTTCTATATTTATTCTAAATTAAATATACATATAATACTACATAAAGCATATAGAGTTTTTTAATATAGTACTTTAATTAAAGGACTTCCCATGTTCTTCCTGTCTATTTAATGATTAATATCAAGCTTGAAACTTTGTTT